AACTCTACCTTGAAGAAACCAATCACAACCACTTCACTGGAATCCACTAACGTCTCTGCTGCAGCAGTGTCCGTCAAGGTAGTTGCAGCCGGGCCAGTGCGCTTCTTCAGCCAGCTGACAATGTCATCTGCTTCTCTGCCAGCTACACCAGAAAGATAAGAACATCAATTCACTTTTTCCCCCGACTCAGTTTAAGAGCACAAAACGCCTAAGCTTTGAGATAGTAGACTGTTCAATAGCTGGCCAAGAGGTCGGGAAGAATCAAGATATCGTTTACACAACTCTTTTCCTTTCACTCCTAGTGTAATGAAGCTAATCCCTAATTGTTAAGTCAAGGTACAAGGGGCTCCCGGGAATCCATCCTTCTCTTGCTTCCTAGCCCAAGCACATTCTTAAACTTGGAGAAGCAATACAGCACTTCTCCAAGATACTAACATTTTTCATGGAAATGTATCACCTTTTCCTTTCAAAATCGGTATTCTGGATGTTACCCTCAGCATCCAGCACAGTGTGGCTTGGTTTAGGTGAATTATGCTTGTCTTGGTCTTCCTTGCAGCTCTGTCTTACATCTTGTGTTTGCCTCTTTACCCAACCACCCAAGCATTTTTTCAGTTCTGGGCGCTACACTGCTCGAGTCAAGCCGAGCAACACGTCAAGCTTGGATTGCTTTGCTTTCCTACGCAAAAACAATTCCATGCACTTCAGCTCATATCAGGGCTTTCCCCAGCTTTAGGTGAGAAAGCCTACTGAAGGCTGACCCGTTCCTTGACACCCCAAGCACAACAGCCCTCCAGAGCACATCTGCTGCAGTGCCATTCCCCCTCTCGCTCCGCTCCATGGGTCGCTGTCACAGTGGACCTTGTCCAGCCGCACCAGCACACACGGGAGTGCAAGGACCAGGTGCAAGGACCCACTGCCACGTCATTGCCCTCTGCACCTGGGTGGCAGGGCCTGCCACCCTGGCTCACCTGTGTACTCCTTGGGAGCGGCCTTGTCACCGTTCCTGAAGAACTTGATGGTGGGGTAGCCACGCACGCCAAACTGCTGTGCCAGCTCCGACTCTTCCGTGGCATCCACCTTGGCCAGCCGGATCTCCGAACCCTCCGCCTTCAGCTTTGCCGCCGCCTTCGCGTACTCGGGCGCCAGGGCTTTGCAGTGCCCGCACCACGGGGCGTCTGCGGGACGGGGCGTCAGCCGGAGCCCCCCCCGCTCCCGGGCACGACGCTCCCGCAGCCCCCCCCCCGGCTCAGGGAGCCCCGCCAG